CAGGAGTTCAAGACCAGCCTGGGCAATACAGTAAGACCCCCATCTCTACAAAAATTTAAAAAGTATTGGCCAAGTGCGGTGGCTTATGCCTGAAATCCCAGCACTTTGGGAGGCTGAGATGGGCAGATCACCTGAGGTTTGAGACCAACCTGGCCAACCATGGCCAGCATGGTGAAACCCCATCTCTACTAAAAATACAAAAATTAGCTGGGTATGTGGACATATGCCTGTAATCTGAGCTACTCGGGTGGCTGAGGCAGGAGAATTGCTTGAATTCAGGAGGTGAGAGTTGCAGTGAGCCAAGACAGCATCACTGCACTCCAGCCTGGGTGACAGATGGAGACAGTGTCTCAAAAAAAACAACAAAACAAAACAAAACAACAACAAAAAGACAAGAGAGAAGAACAAAGGACATCAAAACATCTGCCTAAGCCTGAAGGGTCCAGCTAGTCACCCAGACTCTTCCAGAGCTGTTAAGTTTGTTGAATATATTCATATTTATTTGAGGTGGCATGAGGCAGAGGGCATGGCAATGACATCCCTCACTGTGCCTGACTCTTGTGTCACACTGTGCTGTCCAGATGGGTTGCTTTTGCCACCTGGAGTGCAGTTATCCTGTCATCTCCCTCTGCCATCCTCCCAGAGACTCCTGCTGCTTCCTTCCTGCGTTGGGTCTGCATCCCATATAATCTTCTTTGTAATGGACTGCTCCTTTTTGGTGGACTGCATCCATGAGGGGCTTCTTGAGAAACAGTAGATGAGAGGTACAGGAAGAAATAAGAAGTTGAGACCTTGCCCTTGCATGCTTTATTCCATCCTCACACTGGATTGGTATTTTGTTTGGGTATAGGCTTGTTTGTTGGTTTTTGGTTGAAGATAATGTTCCTTCAAAATTTTGAAGTCATTATTTTAGTGTCTTCTATCTTCTAGTGCCAAGAAGCCTGATGCCATTCTATTTTCTGCTCTCTTTTGAAGTCCTGTTTCTTTTTCCAGAAACTTGTAGGAGCTCTTTGTGCTCAGTGTTCTTGATTATGAAACTCATGAGTGGGTCTTGATTTTCATCCATTATCCTGGCACTTGCTGGGCCTTTTCTGCCTCAGAAAAAGTTTTTTGAATTGTTTTGTTATTGACTTCCTGTTCATTGTTTTACCTATTTTCTTTTTCTCAACCCTCTATTATTTGGGTGTGGACTCTTGAGCTGGTCCTCTCATTTTCTCGTAGTATCATGTTCTTATTTCATGGATACAACAGCTTTCATTTTCTCTCTGAGGATATTAATGGTATTTTAGAAAGTTCTCTTCACCCTCCATAATTTCTGTTTCTTTTAAGTTGCTTTTTTTGTTTGTTCTGGTCTTCCACTTTCTTACTAGAGGCTTTTCTTGGGCATCATATAATCTCTGGTTGTATGCTCATAGTTTAGAATAAGGAACTATTGGAAGCTTTGAGCTTCACTATGGTTTTCTAGCTGGGCCATTTGCTGGCGGAACTCCAGTGTCGGAATCTTCAGATCTTTCCCTCCGAGCTTCTCCCAAAGAAGTCTTTGAATATTGTGCCTGGAGAGAGTGAAGTCTGCCTGCCGGATTTCTCAGAGTCCAGCGAGGGAAGAGGGATGGGGAATCTCAGCATTCAGCATTTCGTATGTGTACAGTCCTTTAATCCCGTTTTCAGAACAGTATCCACATTTTCAGAACAGTATCCACAATCTCACCTATGCCAAATGTCCTCTGCTTTATCCTCTCCGGAAACAAAGCTCCAGCCTTCTGCCTGGTAGTGGAGAGTGTTTCCCTGTGGGCAAATAATGGAAGAGGGGATCTAGGGATTTAATTATTTTCTAAACAGTTTTTTCCATACTCCTTAGCTCCTCGTTCCATAGAGACCTTGGCTGCTGCTTCCTGAGCCTTTTGAGGATTCTTTCCGGATAAATTGGTTGGTTCTCCACCTTCCCTCTCCTGGCTTAGATTTTCGCTTTCTAGGATTGTTAAGTTAATTATCTTTCATTCAGTTGCTTTCTGGATTCCACATTGTGTTGCTGTTATCTCTTCCCCTGTCATCTCTGACCTTGTGAGGTTTTGTCTTTAAAAGTCTTCAGCGTAGTTCTAGTCAGGTTTCGCGACGGAACGAAATTAACTGGGCTTGCTCAGTCCATCACCTTAATTCAGACGTCCTTTGATGCACTTTCTTCCGTTGGTTCTGTGACACTGTATTCTCCTGAGTGTTGTCTTATTCACTTGATGCTCTCAACTCAGGTGCCCTTGTGGGGTCCCCTTCCTCTTTCTGCCCTCTCTGTGGTGAAGGGTCACAGCTTCCTTCCGAGCTCCTCTTCTTTAGCTGAATTCACCCTTAATTGGCTTCATTCAGTCCTAGGCCCCAAATACCACCCATATGCTATGCTTCTCAAACTCGTATTTCCAGCCTGACCTTCCTTCTGAATGTAGAATCGCTGACTCCGAGTCTTCCCTTGGGTGTCCAGTAAGCATTCCCTTCCCCCAAACCAGTTTCTCCTCCAGTGTTCTTCTGAGTAGAAGGCACCACCGTGTACCAGTTACTCAAGCTAAAAACCTGATGTCATTCCTTGATTCTTCTCTTTCTCCCACATCCAATCCCTCAGAAAATCCTGGAAGCTCTATTTTAAAAATATAGCCCCAATCTGGCCACTTCTCACCACCTTAACCACTATTTTAGATGTTCCCTTAACCAGAGAAGCTTTCTGGGCCACCCTATATAAGGTGGTCCACCCCTTCTAGCACAGCACTCTCACGCTGTCTCTCTCTCTCTTTCTGTCTCTCAATCCAACACCACAGAACATATTCTATCTATTTTTTTGCCTTTTTATAGTTGTAACTCTCTTCTCCAACAGTGAAGACCTGGCCCCTCTTATTATCTGAGTGTTTCAGCTAAAAGGGATCTCAGAGGCTGAGGCCTCTGCATTCCAGAAAAGAAACTGAATAAAGAGTCAAGTGAGTAGCCAATTCAAGATGATGCTAAGTAATTTGTACAGAGCTTTTACATTTGAGAATTTTGTAATTCTGGGGATTAAATGTGCTGGGGATTAGAGGAGCAGTAATGATATGCAACTATAACTTACTTTTATATGCTCCTTTTATGTAATTTATCTGGGGAAATGTTTGTAGGAACTAAAGTTCCCTGGTACTGGTAACTCTATATTAATACTTAATTTGCAGGAGGGGCATGGTGGCTTACGCTTGTAATTCCAGCACTTTGGGAGGCTGAGGTGGGCGGATCACTTGAGGTCAGGGGTTTGAAACCAGCCTGGCCAACATGGTGAAACTCTGTCTTTACTAAAAATACAAAAATTAGCCAGGCGTGGTAGCACACGTCTGTAATCCCAGCTACTCGGAGGCTGAGACAGGAGAATTGCTTGAACCTGGAAGGTAGAGTTTGCAGTGAGCCGAGATTGTACCACTGCACTTTAGCCTGGGCGACAGAGCAAGACTCTGTCTCAAAAAAACAGAACAAAACAAAACAAACACCCAAAAACCTAATTTATTGAATAATCAAGATATATTCCATTTTTCTGGATAAAATGTAGAAGCTACTTGGAAGGTTGAGGCGAGATGATCCCTTAAGTCCAGGAGTCCAAAGTTCAGTGAGCTATGACAGCACCACTGCCTCCAGCCTGGGCAGCAGAGCAAGACCCTGTCTTTTTAAAAAAAGTAAAAAGTGGAGGCTAATGTCTCCTCTTAGTTGCATTTTTCTAAGCCTTTTTTCTCGACAGTGACTTTTTCTAGGGTCTATGCCTATATGCCGCTCAAACAAGGAAAAGAGAATTCGGAGAGAAGCAACTTCAAGCCCAGGGACACAGCCCTGGTCCAGTCATGTCCCAACTAGCCTTCCTGGAAATGGCCTCTTCCTTTCCTTCATGTGATCCCACTCTCTGCTCAAATACCCCCCGATCTGCCTGAAAGGATTTCCTGAACTTCTGGCCTGTGACAACAGTGGCCTTGTAGCTTCTCTCAGAGGCTGGAAGTGACTTTTTGTGGTCCCCCTAACACAGCTACTCAAGTTCCTCCCTGATTTACGTATTCGTTTTGGCTGATGACCACAGCAACACTGTGGAATGTTTGATTTATCAAAACAGTAAGTCCAGTCAGCGGGTTGGGGTCTCAGAAAATAAATGCACTCTCTCTGTGGTTCATTTCTTACACTCCCTGCCTTGGTTTGTTGTTGTTGTTTTAAATGCTTCCAGGCGATGTGCCTCTTTCTAATTCACAAGAAGTACCTGCTGGGACTACTGGTTGCCCTGGTAATATAAGATGTGAGTCAGGGAAGAAGTACTGGGAGCAGTGGCTTGGAGTTTAGCTGCTGTGATGGAGAAGAGAGTAGAAAGATGTAAGTGGGGTGCAGCTGGCTGCCATGGCAGCATGGGGAAAGAACCAGGATGCCTCGGGTTATTAGATTATTATTAACATTTGTTACATGGTTTGCAATGTAAAGCTCTTCGCTATAATCAGTAAAGTCTTCATTATCTAAACAAACAAACAAACAAACAAACAACAGCAATGCTGCTCTGAGAGACCATGTGCCCACACATGGAAGATGAGTCCTGCTTCAAGGCCGGTTTGGGGCAACTTGAAAAAATAAAGAGCATCTTTTGTGCTGAATAGTAACTAACTTTACATCAACAAAAAATTCCTTGTAGAAATGGAGCTCAAGTTACCAGGCAGTCTCCCAGTGGTGTCACAGATGTTTGAGACAGGTGATTATAAATACTTGTTGAAATCCCTGTAGGTTTTCATATCCTTACCTATAGAAGTAGATGTTTGCATTTTTGTTAACCTGTTGTCCCTAGAATTCAGCGGTGTGCTGGTCACATATTTTTACATTTTGGATTCACGGAATGACTGTTTGATGAGTAAGATGACTATGTGTCACCTAGGGTTTTTCACTACTAAAGCCTATCTTGATTTATTTTTTCTTTTCTTGAGCTGAATTCCATGGCTACACTAAAGAATGTGTTTGTGCTGCTTTATTTTTATTAGGGTACCAGAACATCTCGTGAAGAGCATAACTTGGCAGACACTGCAAGCTGTAAATTTTTGCCATAAACACAATGTAAGTCTCATGATCTCTTTTGAAAAGTGAGAAGGCTCCCCTTAAGCTGAGGTGGAGCCTTGTACAAAGTTTATATCACACTTTTGTGGGTAAAAATTTTTACCCAAATCTTCATAAGCCTGATTGGGTAAGTAGAGGCTAAAAATGCCAACCTAGCTATTCCTTCTTGCTCAGGTTATACAAAATATGCATTTTTATGATTTTAAGAAACTAGTGCCAGGCATGGTGGCTCCTGCATGTAATCCCAGCACTTTGGGAGGCCAAGGTAGGCAGATCACTTGAGCCCAGGAGTTCGAGACCAACCCGGACAACATGGCAAAACCCTGTCTCTACAAAAAATAAAAAAAATTAACTGGGTGCGGTGGTGTGTGCCTGTGGTCCCAGTTACTCAGGAGGCTGAGGTGGGAGGATTGCTTGAGCTGGGGAGGTGGAGGCTGCAGTGAGTCAAGATCACACAACTGCACTCCAGCCTGGATGACAGAATGAGACCCTGTCTCAAAACACACACACACACACACACACCCCAAAAAATTATTCATATATTTATACTGCTTAGAAACTACTCAGATTTAAGGTAGAACCCCATTCACTTGGAGTCTATGTGATCTTGTACTCCCAAAAGGCTGTGAAATTGGGGGAAACCCCAGGTGATTCATGCCTGCTTGGTTGCAGTATGCCAGTTGCAGTAGGTGGAACCCCAAACCCAGTGCAAAGTGCTAGTGTCTGCTTTGGTGAGATAAGAGTGTCAAGTCTGGAACCAAGCAACCCATTGAAAGCCTGTGACACTTCTGGCCACAGGTGGCTGGTAGAGGCATAGTAGACTATTGCCCAGGTGACGTGACTTCACAGAGGCTGGGAAGCCTGCTGCTCCATCCAATACAACACTGCCCACTGCCTGTGCATAGAAACCAGATTTCAAAGTTAGAGCTTCATTTTGACCATGAGTGCAATTTCACTGCAATATTTTATCCTACTCAACTGCCAGGGTCAATTTAGGTGGTAGGGCTAAATCTCCTTCTTTATATTGTTCTAAATGATTTTTCCTGATGCTGCATTCTTGGAAGGAGGAAGTATGAGAGTAGACAGCACTTCTGCCTGAGGGGCCTCCAACTAGCTAAAGCTATAATCCTTGTCATACACAGGGGAGAGTGGACACCCATATTGTTAGTGACTGTGACTTAGCACTCTCTCGAGAGCAGGTTTTAGGATTGGGGAGCAAGAGAGACTGCACTAAGACCCTGGTAGGGCAGATCTGGGATGCTAAAAACAAATATAATACATACCACAGTTCCCTGGAGAGAGCCCCAGACGCCCTGTTTGGCTCCATGTGCTGATGGGGGTGGGTGCAGAAACTTGTAAAGAATTCCCAGAACAGAATAGGAGCACATACTTGCTTACAAGTACTTCTGACCATATGTCATCATGATATTCATGGTGTACCCATTTATAGCAATATGTGAAGCCACTGGTGAAAGAATAGAGATCTCAGGGATGTTAATTGCTAAGAACCAGATAGATTGTAATAAAACCCCAAAGTTGTTTTATTTCAACCCAAATTTTCCAGAATAATAAATACCCATGGGCAAACATTGACACTGATCTCTCATCCTGAAGGTCGTTTGGAGTGAGAACTGGTCATGTCCAAGAAGAACCCGAGTCCTCTCCAGGTTCTTAAGGATAACCCCAGGGTTTCAGGCTGCAGGCCAAAGAGGGTCTCTCAGGTTGCAGAACGATCTAGCATTCTCCTCCTGAGAGGAAAACACTTGGGAAAGAGGAAGATTATTAGGGACCCTGAGCAGTATTTTGACCCAACTTTAAAAAAAAAAAAAATGTAATTGTTAATTAGGTTGTTGATTTGTTCTTTACCAAAGAAATTGTCATGTAATGAGAAAATCATGTGAAGATTCTCAAACGTTCTTCTCTCTAATATCACCCGGTTAAAGAATGTTGGCTGTGGGCTGGAAACCACAGGTGACTTGAGTCTAAATTCTGGAGGGGGGGCCACATCCTGAGGGGTGGCTGCAGCTCTCAGAGCACTTGTGTGTGGGACAGAGCTGACATCTAGCGACTTTCCCCAGAGGGTGAGGGCTGCTGCCTACTCTTGTTTATCTTGTCGGGATGAATGTCAGAGCTGGAAGGGAGGTCTCTTGGCAAGCTGTGGTTGCCGCCCTTCGCTTCCAGCTTATCTCAGCAGGCTCAGGACTTGTCCTGTTTACGAGGCCAACTGTATTCTGTTCACAGTTAAACAACTGAATTGTGAATTCTGCTTATGCACCAATGTGCAGCTCCTGCAACCGTGATGCAGCCTCACCCGGACCTTTCAACAATTTCCCTTTCACCTAGTACTGTTTGTTTAAACACAGGACACCCAGTTACATTTGAATTTCAGATAAACAAGCATAACTTTTTAGCATAAGTACATCCCAAGTGCTTGATGGTATGTATTATACTAAAAATTATTTGTTTATCTGAAATTCAAATGTAACTGGGTGTCCTGTATTTTTCTTTGCTGAGACTGGCTACCCTACTTTCATTTTTCTTTCACCCTTCTTGGTTCTTTTGGGCCTTTTAGGAATTTGGGATGATTCAGGCTCTGACAGGCTTGGTACTAGATTTATTTTAGGCTGCTCTTTTGCTGTTGTCCAATAGGCCAAGGAGAGATTTAGATGATTTATCCAATATTTGCTAAATAGTCAAGTGTTTCATTTATCTCATATATAGTTCAGCCTTAATATTGTTTTTGTTTTGATTTGTTACACTAGTGCATACATAGAGATGTGAAGCCAGAAAATATCCTCATCACAAAACATTCCGTGATTAAGCTTTGTGACTTTGGATTTGCTCGGCTTTTGAGTGAGTATTGACATTTTCTTTTGTTAAGTATAAAAGATGGAAAAGTTCTTGATACAATAAAGGATTTAAATGCTCTAGAAGTATACAAGCCAGTACTTGTATATTTAGGGCATAAGCATGCCATAAATTATAATTTTGTAATTCCTGAAAACGTGTAGATACATACAGTGGTTTACATATGTATGCTATCCATAAATTATACCACAGTAAAGCGGTTATTAAAAAGTATCTTACCTCCCTGATTTCTATCATTTCTTGCTAAAATAATACTTTTCAGAAGTGCTACTTTAGAATAGCGGCTTTCAACCTTGGAGGCAGATTAGAATCACCTGGGGGAACTTTTTTTTTTTTTTTGAGACAGGGTCTCACTCTGTTGCCCAGGCTGGAGTACAGTGGCACAGTTCACAGCCCACCACAGCCTCGACCTCCCCAGTTCAGGTGATCCTCCCACCTCAGCCTCCTGAGTAGCTGGGACTACAGGCATGAGCCACCACACCTGGCTAAGTTTTGAATTTTTTTTGTAGAGACAGGGTTTCACCATGTTGCCCAGGCTGGTCTCAAACTCCTGGGCCCAAGCAATCCACCTACCTCGGCCTCCCAAAGTGCTGGGATTACAAGCGTGAGCTGCCGTGCCCAGGGAACTTTAAATTCTACGCCCAATAACACCCCCAGACCCTCCCCCCTTCTGTTTTAACTGGACTGAAGTGTGGCTTGAGCATCAGTAATTAAAATATATATATAAGTGATTTGAATGTGCAGCTAGAATTGAGAACCAGCGATATAGAATAAGGCCACAGGATTGGCGCAGGCTTGACTTCTGAGATCGCCCTCTCCCAGTTTTGATTCCAGCCTTCCGCTGCTCTTTGTTTTCCATGTTCCATCACTGGCCAGCTGGACCGAGTGACTACTATACAGACTACGTGGCTACCAGGTGGTACCGCTCCCCTGAGCTGCTGGTGGGGGACACGCAGTACGGCCCCCCAGTGGATGTTTGGGCAATTGGCTGTGTCTTTGCTGAGCTGCTGTCAGGAGTGCCTCTGTGGCCAGGAAAATCGGATGTGGATCAACTCTATCTGATTCGGAAGACCTTGGGTAAGTGGTGTTTTCGTCCTGCCTTTTGGAAAACTGGGTATTTCCCCAGGTTGGGGCAGGGCAGAGCCAAGTTCCCTGTCTCACCTAATGCCCTTTAAGGCATTAGTTAGGAAAGAGGAAAATTTGAAGTCTCATTTAAATGACTTCATTAAAGGTGGCCATATTTGTTTTAATTAAAAATAGTTAACAATTATTGAGTACTTACTCACTGTCCAAAAAAACCCAAGATTCTTCAGCAGTTTGGATCAAGTTAAAATGTTAATGACAATAACAACAATAAAAGCTCACATTTCTGTAAGGGCTTAGCAGTTTACAGAATGCTTTCATGGTTTACCTCATTTATGACGATTTGTGTTATTCATTTGGATATCCTTAACCCCAGCCTGCCTGACTAGTTTGGATTATTCAGACTCTACGGAGGATGATTCCCAGCCTTCTAAGTGTCAGGAGGAAGGCTAGTGCTAATGTCACGCAGCCTGTCTTGCTTTCCCGCCCCAGTGCCCTTTCCTTTCTCTCTAACCTCGGAGGCGGAGGGGAAGGGCAGGGGAGGAGAAGGGAGGGAAGGTGAGAGAAAAAAAAAAAACCATCAGTATTGATTGCCCTCTTCCAAAGCCAGGGAGTTTAGACATAAACTCCCCTGACTCCCCTGAGTATCCCAGTTTAAAGTAAACTTTTCCTGCTCTAAACTCTTGTAGCAACTGCCATCGCCATGCCTTCCCTTGTAATCTTATCTTCTCAAAGATACTGTAAACTTCCTGATGGTGAGATCATGTCTTATATTTCTACTTACCCTCCACCAGTGTCTGCACATTGTAGGCAATAAATGTTTGTTGATAGCTTGACTTTGTCGAGTGACATGGAAGGTGCTTTGTAGGCCTTCCAGGGGCACTCAGCCTTTCTTGGCTGTGTTTCCTCTAGTGATTTTAGGACAGCCTTCCCATGTCACCCCTCTGGCACTGGAGGAAGAAGGTTATTAAGGTACAAGGAATTGTGCTCATGATGCAGCTCACTGAGATCTGAGGCAAGGCATTAGAGGGTGTGCTTTTTGGTTGCTCACCCAAAATGAGGTGAGGCAGCAGTTTTTGCATTTGAGTGCGAGGT